GTCTGCATTTATTGAGGTGATCATATGGTTTTTATCCTTAAATCTGCTTATGTAAAGTATCACATTTATTGATTTGTGTACATTAAGCCATCCTTGCATTCCTTGTATAAAACCCAGTTGATCATGGCATATTGTATTTTTGATGTGCTTTTGTATGCTATTTGCTATTATTTTGTTGAGGATTTTTGTGTCTATGTTCACCAGGGATATTGGTCTGTACTTTTTTTGTTGTGTCCTTGTCTGGGTTTGGTATCAGTGTGATGTTGGCCTCATAGAATGAGTTAGAGAGAATTCCCTCCTCTTTGATTTTTTTGGAATGGTTTCAATATGATTGGTGTTAGTTCTTCCTTATATGTTTGGTAGAATTCAGCTGTGAATCCATCCAGTCCTGAGCTTTTCTTTGTTGGGAGACTTTTTATTAATGATTCAATCTCACTACTTGTTATTGGTCCATTCAGATTTTCTGTTTCTTTCTTATTCAGTCTTGGTAGGTTATATATTTCCAGAAATTTATCCATTTCCTCTAGGTTTTCCAGTTTGTCAACATATAGTCATTCATAATAGTCTGATGCTTTTTTGTATTTCTGTACTAGCAGTTGTAATATCTCTTTTTCTATTTCTTTTTTATTTATTTGAGTCTTCTCCCTTCTTTTCTTGGTTAGTCTAACTAGTGGTTTATCAATTTTGTTTATCTTTCCAAAGAACCAACTTTTCATTCATTAATCCTTTGTATTTTTTTTTAATGTTTTAGTCTTTATTTCATTTAGCTCTGCTCTGATCTTTGTTATTTTTTTCCTTCTGCTAGTTTTGGGTTTGGTTTATTCTCACTTTTATTGTTCCTTGAGGTATATCATTAGATTGTCAATTTGTAATCTTTCTACTTTTTTGATGTAGGCATTTAATGCTATAAACTTCCCTCTCAGCACTGCTTGTGCTGTATCTCAAAGGTTTTGGTATATTGTATTTACATTTTGATTTGTTTCAAAATTTATTTTTTGGAGACAGGGTCTCATTCTGTTTGAGTAAGTATGCAATGGTGCCCTCAAACTCCTGGGCTCTAGTGATCCTCCTAGAGCCCAGGAGGGCTCTAGTGATCCTCCTAGAGCCTCCTGCCTCATCCTCCCAAGTAGCTGGGACTACAGGCATGTATGATTACACCCGACTAACTTTTTTTTTTTTTTAGTTTTTATGGAGATGGGGGTCTCTCTGTGTTGCTTAGGCTGGTCTTGAACTCCTGGCCTCATGTGATCTTCCTTCCTTGGCTTCCCAAAATGCTAAGATTGTAGGTATGAGCCACCACACTCAGGAATACCTGGGAGCCTGAACCCCACACATTGTCTTATGGAAGAAGGGCATGAAGCTAAGCAGAGCCAGACCAGGCAAGCTTGCACTTGGGCCCCGCAATGGCAAGTGCATGTATCAGCTGTAACTGGGTGGCAGAACAGTCCTCAGGCCTCTGGCAAAATGTTTGAGTGAGGAGTGACTGCTGCTGCACTGAGGTCCTATAACATGGGGAATAGGGCTGGTCCCAGTGACCACCTCTTTGGCCAGTGGGTGGGGGACTTGTGTCCACCTCATGCCCCAGTCCTGGCAAGGCTCCCTTCCCCATCCTGGCTGTAGTAGCCAGCCCAACTATTCATTCAGTCCTAGTAGTTTATGCTCAGCTTGTAATTCATCCCTGGGCATAGGAGCTGCTGCCTGGATCAATATGAAGCCTCCACAGCAACTCTCATCCTGCTCAGGGTTGAGGGAGCCTGGTTCTAGCACCTGCAGCTGGAGCCCACTCCACTTGCTTCTCAATTCTAGTTGTGGGAGCCTCTGCCCAACTCAAGCCCCAGTTCTGCAAGTTGTAACCCAAGTCTTCCTAATGCCAAATACTGGCCCCTCTAGTTCCCAGGACCATGCGCAGTTTGTTAAGTGCTGGAATTGAGAATGGTGTCTTACAGTAGCTGCTTAGGTTTGATGGAGTGTGTGGGATACTTCCTGGAGTAGTTCCTTCTCACAGTCTCTAGGCTGCTCCCTAAGTTAGATTCAGGGCTTGGGAAGGTCAAAATGCTCTCCTGTGGCCTGGATTGTACGATTCCTCAGTGAGAAAGTGGATCACAGAAAGACTACCTTGCCCCTCCTGTACTGAGGATTCACTCCTAGTTTTCAGCCAGTCCCACCCACCTGAACTGCCTATTTTCCTTCTCCTTCCCAGAATTTGGAGTTTCCTTTCACTTTTCTGTTAAACTTCTGTGTTCTCTCAGTTAAGATGAAAGAAAACAGATGCCACATGCGAAGAGGAGAGTCATGTGCCATGTGGCAAGGCTACCTCAGTATGAGGGAGGTTGCACTGAGGTAAGAGGAAAAATGAATTACTTGAAAGGAGGAAATAATTGAATCTACATTTTTTCCATACAATTCCCCAATCTGGCCAGTTAGGAAACCTGATGGATTATGTAGAGCAACAGTAGATCACAGATGACCCAATAAACACCAGTATAGAGGGAACATGGCCAGATATAGACACAGTAATCAGTGACCTTTGAACTGCTCAATGGCAAGGAGCAATGACCTCTTGTTGGTCAGTAATTAAGCAGATGTTCACTCAGTGTGACCCTCCTCCCAATGCTCACACGTTACTGAACATAAGAGAATTCATAATTTTAAAGAATGTGACAAAATCTTTAAATCTTGCTCAAGCAGTTTTAATTGTAAGATAAATTTTTGATGGTGAGAAATGATATAAATGTGAAAATTATGGAAAAGCTTTTAAGGAAACCTTTCTACACATAAGAGAATTCATACTGAAGAGAAACCCTACAAATGTGACGACTGTGGCAAAGCCTTTACCCAGTGCTCACACCTTAGTAATCACAGGAGAATTCATACTGGAGAGAAATCTTACAAATGTGAAGAATGTGGCAAAGATTTTAATTGGTGCTCAGATCTTGGCATCCATAAGAGAATTCATACCAGAGATAAATCCTATAAATGTGAAGAATGTGGCAAAGCCTTTAATCAGTGCTCATACCTTAATATACATAAGAGAATTCATACTGGAGAGAAACCCTACAAATGTGAGGAATGTGGCAAAGCCTTTAACAGTACTCACACCTCACTAAACATAAGAGAATTCATACCAGAGAAAAACCCCACAAATCTGAAGAATGTAGCAAAGCCTTTACCCAGTGCTCACACTTTAGTAATCATAGGAGAATTCATATCAGAGAGAAACCCTACAATTCTGAAGAATGTGGCAGACTTTACATGATATTCACTCCTCACTAGACATAAGAGAATTCATACTGGAGAGAAACCCTACAAATGTGAAGAATGTGGCAAAGCCTTTGCCCAGTGCTCAAACCTTAGTACCCATAAGAGAGTTCATATAAGAGAAAACCTACAAATGTGAATAATGTAGTAAAGTCTTTAAATATCGCTCAAGCCTTTCTTATCATAAGATAGTTCATACAGTAGAGAAGCCCTGCAAATGTGCAAAATGTGGGGAATGCTTTAAGTTATGCTCATGTCTCTAAACATAATATATTAGATACTGAAGAGAAACCTTATGAAAGTGAACAATGTGGCAACACCATTAACTAGTGCTCAAATATTTATAAAATAAGAAAATTCATACCAGAGAGAAAACATACAAATGTTAAAAATGCAACAAAGCCTTTACCTGGTCCACTTCTCTTACTGTACATTAGGGAATTCATACCTGAGAAAAATCCTACCAAGGTAAGAAAAGTAAGAAAGCCTGCTCGCATATTACCTGCCATCAGAGAGTCATTCTGGGTAACAGTGATGTAAGTGTAATAACTGTCAAAATACCTTTCAGAAAATAAAAGTCTTAGAGTGTACCAGGGAGTTTATACAGAGAAAAAATATTACAGCTATAAAGAGTGGTACAACATCTTTACTTCTGTCACAGATATTGTTCACAGGAAAATTTATACTGAAATGAAACCCTACATCAACTGCTCAAACTTTAAGTTCAGAGAATTTGGATTTGAGAGAAACTCTATAAATGTAATGAATGAAAAAAAACATTTGTTCATAAAACACAGCTTTGGAAAATAGAACTTGTACTTTACAGATGCCATAATGTGAAAAAAATAATGAAAAATCAAGTCTAAATAAAGATCTGCAGATTCGCAGTAAAAAGCACTAAGGCACTAATATTTTCAGACATTACCCTAAAGCAGTGAGTAGATTATATACAATAATTTAACATTAAAATCGTTAGATAATCTAAGTATATGTATGTTTAAAAGGAACATAAAACTGACTTATCTCACAGAACTTGGAAAAGTTACTAACTCTCCAAGCTTCAGTTTCTTTATCTGTAAAATGTATTAATTATACTTCCCTTCCCATAGGTATTGAGGTGTTAAATACAATACAATAAATACCAGCTCTTGTTGTGCTCCAAAAAAAAAAAAAAAGTGTCTTTGGTGAGTGTAGAAGAAATGATTCTTACACAAAAGAAGCAGCAGAGTGGTTCTCAGCTGGACCCACACGTCAATCTGAACCCATCAAACTGACTGGCTTTGATGAGAAGATACTAGATCACAAAGGGAGAAAAAGAACAAGGTGACAGACAGCCTCTGTGAAGGAAGGAATGGTGCAATGGAGGAGTGGCCGAAGAGGCTGAGGTGGAGGTCATCCTTGCACAGGAGCCTGCTGCTGATCAGGAAGTACCGAGGGATGCTGTCTTGCCTGAGCAGACTTTAATGAGTTCTTTAACCTTGATAAGGTGCCAGGCTTGGCTTCAAGGATAGAAGATGTTTTGGGAGAAGGGTCAGTGTCTGCCAGTTGGTTCAGTAGGTGGTTCTCTAACCCAAGTTGATCAGGAAGCCAATCCAGCAGTCTTGGGTCAACACCGCATGAAGAACTGGAGAAACTCGCAGGTCTGGAGCAAGCCATCCTCTCTCCTGGACAAAACTCTCGGAATTATTTCTGCTCCTATACCATTGGAAGACCATGCTGAAAATAAAGTGGATATTTTAGAAATGCTACAGAAAGGCAAAGTGGATTTAAAACCTTTTCTTTCCAGCCTTTCTGCAAATAAAGAAAAACTTAAAGAGAGCTCACATTCAGGAGTTGCACCGTCAGTGGAAGAGGTAGAAGCAGGGCTCAAAGGTTTGAAGGTGGATCAGCAAGTGAAAAATTCAACTCCCTTTATGGTAGAACACCTAGAGGAGACTCTGAGTGCTGTAACCAGCAATTGACAACTCAAGAAAGATGGAGACATGACTGCATTTAACAAGCTAGTGAGCACCAGGAAGGCAAATGGGACTTTGCCTTCTAAGCCCAAAGTCACTTGAAATCTTGAAAGCCATATGATGTCCCCTGCTGAGATTCTAGGGTAGCATGTCCCTAAGAACATCCTACAGGAACTTCTGGGCCAACCAATTCAGAGACTCACTTCTTCTAATGTTCTGAGTGGCTTTATGGGGAGCTTAGAGCCTACAACATCTTTACTGGACCAAAGAGCACCCTCTCCTCCCTTGTCACAGGTGTTTCAAACTCGAGCAGCCTCAGCAGACTATCTTCACCCAAGAATACCATCACCAATTGGTTTTATACCAGGACCACAGTTACTCGGAGATCCATTCCAAGGCATGTGAAAACCCATGAGCCCTGTCACATCCCAAATGAGCCAGCTAGAGTTACAACAGGCAGCTTTGGAGGGGGTAGCCTTGCCACATGACCTTGCTGTAAACTTCTACCAGCCTGGTTTTGGCAAACCACGGTGGACAGAACCAGAGATGGATTCAGAAACAGGCAACAACGAGTGACCAAGTCACCACCACCCGTGCACCGAGAGAATTCCTCTTCCCCAGCCCCTGCTGCCTCCATCACAAGCATGCTGTCTCCTTCCTTTAACCCTACTTCAGTGATTCGTAAGATGTATGAGAGCAAAGAGAAAAGCAAGGAAGAGCCAGTATCTGGAAAAACAGCTCTTGGTGATAGTAAAGAGGATACTCAAAAGGCCTGTAAAGAAAAACTCCTGTCATCCAGCTCTGTACCCAGTGTCGATCGAGACTCTTCTCCCACTACAAATGCCAAACTGTCAATGTTACAGTGGTCTTCATGTTCCACCCCAATGTCCCAGACCAACTGTTACACCAAAGAACAAGATTATCGACCTAAAGCAACTGGGAGAGAAACACCCACCATGGCATTCCCAGTTCCAGGAACACCTTTTCTCCGCCCTGTCCACCAAGTTCCTCTCGTCCCCCATGTCCCTATTCTTCAGCCTGCTCACCAGCTTCACCCAGGGTTGGTACAAAGGATGCTGGCACAAGGAGTACATCCACACCATCTTCCAAGTTTGCTCCAAGCTGGTGTGCTTCCTCCTGGGATGGATCTGACTCGTTTACAAGGAATATCCAGCCCAATCCTGGGTCAGCCCTTTTACCCTTTACCTGCTGCTAGTCGCCCTCTCCTTAGACCAGTGGCGTGCGTGGGCCCCCAGTCAGGGATGGGCAGCATCTGACCACACGCCGCGGCTCGTGCTACTGCTCCTCACTCACCTGCCTCTTGTCTGGCTTGTCCCAGTAGTGGCCCAACAGTCTCCAGAAGGAGGCAGCACATGGGCTTCCCCCACCTCTGTGTCCCCTTGGACCCTACAATCCACCCCTGAAGCGTATAGTGGGGCCGACTGGTGGCTCTTAGAGAGTGAATGTGTCCCCCCAAGTTCCTATGTGGAAGACCCAACCCGGACGTGATGATATTTGGAGGGGGGAACTTTGGGAGCTAATTAGGCTTAAACAAGGTCATGAGGGTGGGGCCTAATGGTGACGTTAGTGTCCAGAGAAGAAGAGGAAGAGACCCAGAGCTGTCTCTCTCTCCCCGACGCGAGGACACGGTGCAGGCCAGGACGCAGGCCCTGGCCAGGGCCCGGCCACGCTGGTGCTCTCACCCCAGACTTCCGTCCTCCAGACTGTGGTAAGCGCATGTCTGTTCGTTCAGCCTCCAGGCGACGGCACTGTGTCATAGTGGCCCGTTCTGACTAGGACGAGCTCCCTCAATCTCGGGAGCTTCCTTCCTGACAGGTACCTGGAAACCACGCATCAGAGCCACCAGCAGGAATGAAGAAACGTCGCAAGTACAGCGTGTGAGCTACGCGTCAGGAGAGCGGTGCAACGAAGTGTAGGAGAATCTCCAAAACCGACGACATCATCGCGCTGGACGCCGAGGAGCCCGTGGCGCTCACACAGCAGGCGCTCTGTGTGTCCCCCGCTGTCCTGGGGGCTTCGCTTCCCTGTGCACTCACGGAGTCTCCACAGAGAGCCATGAGGCAGTGAGGCTGAGCCAGGTCCCACTCTAGCGCCTCGTGCCTCTGGGCGGCAGCGGGTGGCTTGGCTCCAGAGCCCTCCGCCTTCATGGCTGGGCAGTAGGTCCCTGCAGGAAGCCATTGTTTTGAGTTCTTCTGAGTAAGGCCATAACAAGTGTCTGTAGATCAGAATGCTTCCATCATTCATATCCACTGTTTTGTTTTGTTTTTTTACTTTATTTATTTTTTAAGACAGAGTCTTTGCTATGCTTCCCAGGCTGGAGTACAAGTGGCAGAATCAGAACTAACTCTATCCTTGAACTCCCTTGAATTATTTATGTGATCCTCCTTCCTCATCCTCCTGAGTGGTAGAACTAGAGGACACACCACTGTTGGGGATTTACATTATATTTCCTGGTTTCAGAATTAAATTTAGTGAGTAATGTATGTGCTCTGCCCAGAGCGTTTAAAAATAAATGTGTCTGGACAGGGTCCCTGTGACACACAATGTTGCTGCCTAGAGGCATAACAAAGGACCTGAGTTTCTGTAAGTAAGCAAGAGCTGCCCAGTCCTATGGCAGTGGTGGTCTAGAGGCCACACCATAAACATATTGTTCCTAGGATTGCTGCTTAGCCCCATAAGTTGGCTGGTTAGTCAATGACAGGTAAGATTCCTCAGGGAGGAACAACCTAAGACAGTACAGCTGCCAGGGGCCAGCCTAGAGGAACCATGGCTGCCTTGCCCAACCTTACTAATCTTTGTCTGTGATCTATGCCTGGCACCTAGAACAACCACCTAGAAACCTTGAGTCAGGGGACATCTGTGTCCTTAAGGCTATGTGTTCCGGAATTTTTGGCCATTGCTATAATGCCTGGGTGGTCATGTATAAGGAACTAACTTTGATTTTTTAGAGTGTAAAAATAAACTGACCAGTGCATTTGGCAATTGAGTCGTGTACTGTCTTTGTGTGTCTGTGTCTTTCTTTTGTGTTCTGTGTTCATCCCCTGTCCTATAAACAGGCCACGCCACACCACCATGCCCAGTTAATGTTTTTTGTTTTTACTTTTGTGGAGGGGGGAGGTCACTATATTGCTCAGGCTGCTCTAGAATTTCAGGTTGTAAATGATCCTCCTACTTTAGCCTACAAAAAGAAAACAGATGTTTTCTCTTTGTAAAAGAAAATTCATAGTGTTTTTAGGAATGTTTCAACCATGTAGAAAAAATATAATTGAAAGCAATATAGTCACCATGTAAATGTAGGCAATATGAATATCTTATTATTTTTGCTTCAGCTCATTTTTTAAATAAAAGCTTTATTAAGTCATTTATGTAGAATACATTCACCCATTTAAATCAGGTGGAAAAGTAAGTGTTAAAGTAATTGAAAAATAAAAAGTGACAAAAATTGTACAATTTTATGGTTTTTCTACAGAATTTGCAACATCACCACAATAGGTATATTCATAGAATTTGCAGCTGTCACCATAATAAATTTTAGATCATTTTCATCACTTCCAAAAGAAGCCCCTTATCCTTTAGCTATCACCCCCTGTCCCCTCATCTATATGCCCCAGCCCTGAGCAATCACTCACTTGCTTTCTGTCTATATAGTTTTCCATACTCTGGACTTTCATATGAATGTAATCATATTATAAGTGCCTTTTATGTCTATATTCTTTCACTCAGAATAATATTTCAAAGATTCACCCATGTTTTAGCACGTATTATATTGTTAAATTAAACATTCTTATTGCTGAATAATATTGTACTGGGTAGATATACTAAAATTTATTTATCCATTCATCAATTGATGAACATTTAGGTTGTTTTCATTTCTTGTCTATTATGAATAATGTTGCTAAGAACAGTCGTGTACAACGTTTTGTGGAGATGTATGTTGTCAATTCTCATGGCTATATGCCTAAAAGAATTGCTGGGTCACATGAAAACTCTAACCTTTTCAGAAGGTATTGTTCTCAATGCAGATGCATCATTTTATATACCCACTATCTGTGTATGAAGGTTCCAATTGTTGTCCACCTTTTATTCAATATTTGTTGTCAACTGTCTTTTTGAAAATATTCATCCTAGTGGTTCTGAAGTTGCATCTCATTGTAGTTTTGATTTGCATTTCCCTGATGTTGAGCTGCTTTTCACATGCTTATTGTCCATTTGTATATCTTCCTGGGGAATGTGTATTCAAGCTTTGCCCATTTTTAATTGATTTGTCTTTTATTATTGATTTAAAGAACTCTTATATATTCTAGATAAAAATCCCTTTCCAATATATAATTTGCAAAACAATTCTCCCATTCCATAGGTTGTTTTTTACTTTCTTGATAGTGCTCTTTGAAGCATGAAAGTTTTTACTTTGAATTAAGTACAACTTCTCTATTTTTTCTTTTGTTCCTTGTGTTTTTGGTGTCATATGTAAGAAGCCATAAACTAGTTCTAGGTCATGAAGATTTATTATTAAGCTTCTTCCTTTTTTAAAATCCATCTTTTTTTAAAATCCACCATTTTTAAGTGTACAGTTACAGTTCATTTTGTTAAGTATATTCACATTGTGCAAAAGATCTTTAGAAACTTTTCATCTTTCAACACTGAAATTCTATATACATTAAACATTAATTTTCCTCCTCTCAGCCCTTGGCAGCCACCTTTCTACTTTCTGTTTCTATGATTTTTGACTACTTTAAATACTTCCTATGAGGGAATGTATTTGTCCTTTGGTAATTGGCTTAGTTCACTTAGCGTAATGTTCTTGAGATTCATTTATGTTGTAGCATGTGACAAGATTTCCTTCTTCTTAAAGGCTGCTTAATATTCCATTGTATTATGTATATGTGCCATACCTTATCCTTTCATCCATCAATGAACATTTGGATTGCTTCCACCTCTTGGCTACTGTGAATAATGATGCAATGAACACGGGTTTGTAAGTATCTTTTCGAGATCCTGCTTTGAATTCTTTAGAATATATACTCAGAAGTAGTGTTATATGGTAATTATATCATATAATTATATATAATTATTATATGATAATATGACAATTCTATTTTTCTTTTTTTTGAGTTGCCTCCATACTGTTTTCCATAAGGGATACACCATTTTACATTCCCACCAACAGTGCACAAGTGTCCAATTTCTCCACATCCTCCCCAACATGTTATTTTCTGTTCTTTTGATAGTGGCCATCCTAATGGATATAAGGTAGAATCTCATTGTGATTTTGATTTGTATTTCTCTTGTGCTAGTGATGTTAAGCATCTTTTTCTATGTTTGTAGACCATTTGTTTATCTGCTTTGGAGAATTGTCTATTCAAGTCGTTTGCCCCTTTTTCCACCCCTTTTTTAATTTTGATTTTCTAGATTTAGGGTGTACAACTGCAGTTTTGTTACATGAATACAGTCCATAGTTGTTAAGTATGCTTTGCTCATTTTTAAATCAGGTTATTTGTTTTTTGTTGTTATCGAGTTATAGGAGTTCCTTATACATTCTGGATATTAACCCCTTATGAAAAATATGATTTGCAAATGTTTTATCCCCTTCTGGAGTAGATTTTCTTTTTACTCTTTTAATTTTTTGGATGTACAGAAGCTTTAAAGTTTTATGTATTTCATTTGTTTATTTTTGCTTCTGTCGCCTATAATTTTTGTGTCATGTCCTAGAAATAATTGCTAAAGCCAATGTCCTGAAGATTTCTCTGTATGTTTTATTCTCAGAATTTTATAGTTTTAGGTCTTATGTTTAGGCTTTTAATTCATTTTGAGTTAATATTTGAATGTAGTATAAGGTAAGGATCCAACTTCATTCTTTTGCATGTGAACATCCGGTTTTCTCAAAACTATTTTTTAAAGAGATTGTTCTTTCTCCATTATGTAGTCCTTGCACCCTGTTGAAGATCATTTGACCATATACACAAGGGATTATTTCTGGGCTCTCTATTCTGTTCCATTGGTCTATATGTCCTTGTGCCAGTATTATTAGCATATTATCTTGATAACTGTTGCTTTGTGATATGTTTTGAAAGCAGGAAATGTGTGACCTCCAATTTTGTTCTTCAAGATTGTTTTGGCTATTCAGAATCCCTTGGGAGTCTATGTGAATTTTAGGATAGGTTTTTCTATTTCAGCAAAAAAAAAATTGTTGGAATTTTGATAGGAATTGTATCAAATCTGTAGATTGCTTTAGGTAGTATGGACATTTTAACAATAT